TATCTCCTTATATCAATCTCATAAACTTATCCTGCATCTGCCTCCTCATAGAAGGAGGTACGAACCAATCCTTGAACACCTGAGTAAAATCATTCCACTTAATTTGCATGTCAGGTATTCCTTCAAATTTATCTTGATACAACCCTCTCCACCACATTTTAGCTTCTCCTTCTAGTGCAAAGGTTGCCAAGGAAACTTTCCTCTCTTCTGGACAGTGAATTTCTTATAATATCTTTTCAATCCTCAGCAACCTATTTTCAGCCTTTATTGGTCCCTCTACTCCCTTGAATAATGGTGGTCTCATATCCTGAAACAATTTCAGATACTTATCCATAACCATTCCACCACCACTATTACTCCCCAATAATTGATTTCTTGAATCTTGAATCAGCTGAGTCATAGCTGTCATCATTTGAGCCAATGCATCAGGATTAACAAGAACATTAGGTGTTGTTCTTTCCACTTCTTCCTCTTCTTCATACTCATTTTGGTTCCTGTTGTCATAACATAATCATTTAATATTAAAATCATTAATAATCATCCTAATGACTCTTTCAGTATGATTCATATTTTAACCTTACTCTGATACCACTTTTGTCACGATCCGGCCCGAATGCTCGATCTAATGAGGCAGGTACGAAAAGTCGGACAATATTACATTTCCATCAATAATAATAACTCTTCACATAAACTTTTCTATTAACTGAAGAGCAATTAATACACAAATCATAAATTACATGTTGTCATTTGCATGTCGCCTTCTGTAGACAAATTATTCTTTTTCGGCCATTTTTAATTCATTGAAAGCTTACCTAAAACATGAGGATGGATTGAGTTTATAGTGTAAACTCAGTGGATAATTCTCATCATCACTTACAATGCATAAAATTCACTAAGATACAAAAAAAATTAATCTTTACTTTGGTGTACTTTTGCTTTATTCATTTCCTTTCATTTGTTCCATTTAAACATATCTCATCATACATTTCCCATCATATAAGATTCATCATATTCATTCAATTAAAATTTCTTTTAATCTATATTCCTTTTTGCTTTTTGATTCGTACAGGAGCACCGTCTAAATGTACCCAAGGTACAACCATTTCCATTTTCTTTTTCGTTTTCATTCTCTTTTCCCTTTTAACGTGCACGGGTACGTTGCTTCTCCCCCAGTACCATATGGGGGTGAACTCCTGTACACTTTGCATGCATAATCTTTTTTCTTTTCCTTTGATTTATTCATTTTGTTATCAGTTTACATTCTTATAATTGTATACATGTATCATATATATATATATATATATATATATGATTTATCCATACTTTATATATGTTTTTCATTTTTAATTTTCAATTTCTTTCTATTTATTTTCTTTCACGCATTTACACTTTCTTATTCTTAAATCTTCAATCATTTTCAATCAACGCATTTAAAATTCTCCAAAAGAATCAAGTAATTATATGAACTATTACTTCCAGATTTACAATGAAAATAAAATAATAAAATTTTACACATATAATTACCAACTTTAATCCTTCCAAAAATCTCGATCCTTGGAGCAACCTCAACTTCGAGTTCCTACAACTTTACCAAAATATAACTTCTATAAAAACGTGCTTTCATAATAAAATTGAAATAAATTTGTATAATATGAGAGTCACTTACAAAGAAAAATGGAGATTTTCTCAAAATCCCTAAATCCTTCTTTCCCAAAATTCCTTTCCCTTGTCTTCGATTCCTTCTTTTATATCTAAATTAATGTTTCTAATGGTTAGATAAATAATTAGGAAACAATTTATATAAAAAAATTTGCAAACCAAACATTTTCCCTCTTTTCCTCATCGTTCCTCTCGCTCGTTGAAACTTCTCCCAAATTTATCTCTCCTTTAACTATGGAAATGAGAAGGAGTTGATTACTGTCATCCTTTAACATGATCGATCCCTAAAATTGGAAAAAATAACGAACCTACCTCGCTCTCTCGCACGCAACCAACTGTCTGCTCCTCTCCCTATTCGCGAACTCCCTCTGTTTCGCGAACGTCTGTTCGCGATTAATAGGGAGGGGTTTCGGTCGATTCGACCGAACCGGCCAAATGAACCGGTCATCACAATTGATCACCAAATAGACTACGCAAATGTGACAGAGTATCGAATTTATCTAAGGGGGACCTCTCACAATCAAATCGAATGAAGGTCATCGAAATTGATAGACCACAGATGATAAATTATGCGACATTACCCAAACATCATCCATTCAAAAAACGGATTTTGTCGTAATGTCTGGAACTTCAAAAATACCATAAAACAATTGTAATATTGCCTGGGTCCTTATACGAGTGGAAATGCAAAAGTGGCATGAATTTGGAGTTGATGATGACACATAAATTGAAACGCATTATGCATAAAAAGATTTGGCGAGCGACGAATATGCATTAAGAGAATCGATACCTTATTAATTTCTGGAACTTCAAAAATACCATAAAATAATTGTAATATTGCCTGAGTCCTTATACGAGTGGAAATGCAAAAGTGGCATGAATTTTGAGTTGATGATGACACATAAATTGAAACGCATTATACATAAAAAGATTTGGCGAGTGACGAATATGCATTAAAAGAATCGATACCTTATTTTATAAACATATTTACAAATTCATGTATTAAGTAAATTTTATAAATATTAATTACTATTTTTAACTAATAATTATCCATTAAAATATCAGTTAATATGTACATACTATAATTAATATATTATTGATAATTAATAGTTAAATATTAATTAATATATTTAGTTTTTGGTAAGTTCTTTGAAATCAAATGACTGTGTCATAGCCCTTTGGTCGGGTTGGGTCGACTACATCTTCTGATTTGTCCATGAAAATGAACGTATCATACTTCGAGTGTTATCAACTAATAGTTCTGATACTCGAAGAGGAAAGTCATTTTTTGGACACGCCTTATTGAGATCTCGAAAATCAATACAAATATAAATTTGACCATTATTTTTCTTTACGGGGATAATATTACCTATCCAGTCAGCATATTTTTCACATAATTTTTGGATTTTTAAAACTTATTATTGAGTTCTCTTACTGATTTTGATGTTTTATTTTGAGCATTGTTAATTTAGTGCAACTCTTGTGATATCTTGTAATCCATTTTATGAGTTGTATTATGGGCTTTTGATTTTGATTATACATCATAGTCAATGATTGAGCTAATTCTTTAATTTTTTTCCAAAAAAAAAAGAAAAAAGAAAAATTAAAATCAATGTCCTTGAAATTTTAACAAATCACTTTATGAATAAGGTAGATCTATAGTTTATTGATTTGAATAAATAAAACTCAAGGTTAAGTTTTACATTGAATTGAAAGAAAGAAAAAGAGGAAAAACCCTAGCCCACAGTGTATCGCAAGTTGTCAACTTGCTGGTGCCCAAACTGACCTCGCGTAGCTCAATTGGCTTCACCTACTCTTCTCTCGCTTCTAGTACTTGCTTGCTCGGTCATGATTGCTCGCTCTGTCATGCAATTGCCTGCATGTTTGCTTTTTTGCTCGCCTCGCTCTCTCTCGCTCTCTCTCGCTCTCTCATACTCGCTCACTTCAGCTCTCACACTGTGGGCCCCACTTAAATGAGTTCTCAAACGGTGCTTAACACCAATAGATACCTTATAACTGGTTGTATACATGATTATATATAGTAGACCTTATAACTGGTTGTATACATGATTATATATAGTAGATGTAACTTATGATCCTATTTATTACACCTTAAAAATTAAATAAATCTTATAAAAAACAGTTATTTTATAATGAATAATTTCTTTTGAAAACTACTCATTTTAATAAATTGACTTATGTATCTTAATTGAATTTACAAATTTACTTTTTTCCTTTGATTTATTTAAATATAAATAAATAAGGATTTATTTATTTTTTACGGTGCTACCAATTGGTTTAGCTCTTGATCTTTTGTATATGCTGCTTTCTTTTGTCATTTTGTTCTGGGGTGTCATATCCTTTAATCATCCTTTTATATCAGTTATATATAAGGGTTTTTCCCAACCCGCTCCTACACACAGGAGGATTTCACAATTAAAAAAAAAAAGCCTCAATGGGTGAGAGTGACCTATCTTGAGCTGCAGTTCTTCTGTCGAAATATCCTCAAAGCTCACCGAGTTAGCACCATAAACCAAGGACCAAGAGGAAAGCTTAAACAATAGGCCCGCAAATTAAAGCACACTTGAATACATGTATCTAAACTAAGTTTATTTATTCTACTAATATGCATATGGAACTTAGCAAAGCTAATGGAAATAAAAAATAAGAAAAGGCCGAATCAAAACCAAATAAAGGTAAGTATGCAAACTGGAAATATGAATTAAATAAAATGAAGATATAAAAATACCCAAAATATTTTTTTATTCATTATTGTGGTCCGCATATTGCCTAATTAACCACATTTATTTTAAGAAACCTTTTTTTATTCCCAAATAATAATAATAATATTAATTATATAACTGAGAAATCGTGTACATTGTTAAAACTAAGGATACTTACATGAAAGATTTTGCAAGTATATATAAGCGATTGAGACGCTTGGCTCATTGGTTTTAAGTCATGGAAATCCTTTGGTTTTTATTTTGGTTTTTTATTGACTTAGTTTGGTCAGTGGACCATTGGGTGATCCATCCTACTAGGCCACATGCAGTTCTCATAGAATTTCAATACTGATCTTACTGGGTACTTGAGTCATCAAGTTGGCTAGGCCGGGGAAAGGCCAGGCCAGGTTTAAATGTGCCGGTAGATATATTGGTATGATATGCATGTAGTAATTATCTATTTCTATGAAATGCTTGCCTGCATGTGGAGAGAGGAGAGAGAGAAAAGATTATGAATGGATGAAGATTGAAAGTATCAACTTTGTGTGATCATTAGACTGACATTATTTTTGTGTATCAGATTTTGTGCTTAACTTGGACATCTACTCCTGTTTCCAGGTTATACGGGAACCCTTTATGTGCAAATCCAGTGCAAGCCAATTTGGTGAACTGCCAGCCTCAGGATATTAACCCAACATCAGGAAACACTACAAGCTCTAGAATAACCTGTCTATCTTGCACCACAGACTCGGATTATGAGTTCAATCCATTATCTCCAATACCATGCGTTTGTGCCATACCACTTAAAGTTGGGTTTCGGTTAAAAAGTCCAGGAATTTCAGATTTCCATCCCTATATTGAAGATTTTAGGATTGATTTGTCTTCGCTTTTGTATTTAAATCCTTATCAAGTATATTTTGGCTTATATAACTGGGAAGAGGGTCCTAGGCTGAATATGTATCTAAATCTATTCCCTGACAAAACTAGTCTGTTCAATGCAAGTGAAGTGATACGCATCAGAAGAATGCTGACTGGATGGGAGATTACACTTTCAGATGTTTTTGGGCCTTATGAGCTACTCAACTTCACACTGGGATCTTATGCCAATAGTATGTTCTGATTTCATTTTAACTTGATTTTGTTGAAATATTAAATTTAATTTTTTTTCACCTGCTATGTTACCATGTTTTATTGCCAATATATTTTCTTATGTTTTGGAAAACTGGATGCATCTTCTTTACGCCCTCCTGTTGGAGCCATGTAACATGTCTCTTAAATCATTTCTCCAATCCCAGAGGAAGGCTTGAGGCTGTCCAGAGCCTTAGAAATAAAGGACTAACAAGAATTGGTTGAATGTTTCATTTCAACATTATACAACCCTAGGAGAGTTTATACTAGGAAACATGCATTATTAGAAAATATTAATTATAGAATAATTACAATATTTACAAACTAATGAGATTGCAAAATAATAATTCGAGTCAGAAAATTGAATTGATTATGTGGAGTTGGAACTTCTCGATAAATTAACCCCATTGCTAGAATTTTTGTTCATTGTTGATGGCAGAATTAATTAAAATATTCCATTACCTTATTTAGCATTTTGTTTGGGGAATAATTGGATTCTGTTTTATTAAGTTTATTTCCTATTTTATAATTTCTTATTAGGATTTATTTCATGTCATATTTTTCGTTATTATATTTGCTTGTAGTGCTCCTTTCACTACAAATAAGGATCCATATGGTTAGGTAGAGATATTGAATTGAATGGAATATTGTATTGAGTCTTGCTAAGCTCTCTCTCTCTCTAGCAGATAGCAGATAATTTCAAAGTCTTAAAAGCGTATTTCTTCAAAGTTTATGTTGGTTACCTTAGTTATTTATTTTAATCCCATATGTTGTGGTTTTGGTGGATAATTCCATCGATTGTAGACCCACTTTTTTTCATACAAATGCCTCTTATTTAGCTTGCAATAGTTTGACTGTGTTCCTTCAATTGAGGCAATAATTTTGGAAATAGAAGAAATTTATTTCTTTTTGATGGAAGAGATAATTTGATGACTGATAGTTCCACTCTTTTTGCAGTGTTTCCTACGTCTGTGAAATCAAGTTTGAGCAAGGTTGCTTTAGCGGGAATTGTACTAGGATCAAGTGTTGCTGGAGCTATTATTGCTGCAACTATTGTAATTTTTGTCATGCAAAAGCGCTCCAGACATCAGGTGGATTCTAAAAGGAGAGCATGTACGTGCAGGAATTTTTCTAAGAGTTGCACTTCATTGAAACTAATATTTTATAAACATTTGTGTTGTAAATTATTTTGTGCCATCTTATTTGATGAATACTTCCAAATAATGTCTTGTATTTGCATATGATGATCTATCATTAGTTCATTGGTGAATGACAAGGATTGAAATAGCTATTGAGATTATACAATTGTTGCAATTTTATGAACTCAGCCTCACAATTGTTTAGTTATGTTTATCCTCTATTTAAACCCACATACCATGTATTTTCATCTTTTTATTTTTAATTATTTCGTCAAAGAACATGAAATAATCCTTTCCTTGGAGGAAATTGTCTTATTTATCATCATGACTGGAAGTTATGCAAAAAGAAGTTATCCGATTTAGCATTGAACAAGTATGAATGAGGTGGATCTATAAACCTAAATCCAAATATTTTGGAGAAGGATACTGTATGATGATGACATCATTATCATTTTTGGTCTTATACCAATTAACACTGCAGTTGTCAGGTCCTAAGTCCTGGATGAGAAAAGTTGAGGGTTGCGTTAGGTAGTCAACTGCGAGCATAAAAATTGTCAAATAATCATGACATGAATCTTTTAAAAAATTGGAGAAACAGGATTCATGTAGCTGACCCCACGTAGTGGGACAAAGACTTGATGTTATTGTTGTTGTTGTATTTACTTCTTTTAAAATTGCATTTGACATTTGATACCGTTTACCTAATCCTTTTAAACTTGTTAGCTGCTTGTCCTGACCTTTCTCCTTTATGGCTTTTTGATATTAAATTTGGGTAACTTGCTTGTTGTTGCCGAATATTCTATTTTCTTACTACTCATACACAATAAGAACTAAGCCATTATTTCTGTAATAGGGCCTTTTTTTCTTGTCCTATTTTTCCATGCTTCCATCTCAACATTCTACTTTCCAAACCTTCTAACTTATTTTTTTTCATTCTTCGATGTTCGCATTAATAATGGTCAAATTGAATATAGGGCAATTTTCGTTTAAACAGTTGTCAGGCTGGCAATGTCAGCTGTTAGAGCTTCTCATATTTCTATAACAATATGAGCCCCAACTAATAATCGTTTATTATTGATATGTTTTATTTCATAAGCTGTCCTTGTTTGGCTATTTATAGTTTTAAGTATCCTTAAAGTCAACCTTCTGAAGATAGATTTAGGGAAGTTCACGTCCATTCTGTTTCTTGAGATTTTCTCTCTTTTTCTTGAAAAATTAACTCTTTATGATGACAATATTAAGACAACATGTGTTTTAAAAAGCTTGCGGAAAGTTCTTTTCTCCCTTGTAATCATGTACCAAGAATAAATTTTATGTTATCTTTCCATGCAGCATCAAGAACTACCATTAAATTTTATGATGTCAAAGGCTTTCTGCTTGAAGAAATGGAACGTGCAACAGACACTTTTAGCAACTCTAGTTTAGTTGGGCATGGTGGATATGGTAAGGTATACAAGGGAATTCTAGCAGATGGCACAGTTGTTGCCATAAAACGAGCACAAGAAGGATCATTGCAAGGTTCAAATGAGTTTGCAACAGAAATAGAGTTGCTATCAAGATTACATCATCGAAACCTTGTTTCTTTGGTGGGATATTGTGATGAAGAAGATGAACAGGTATGGTTTTTTCATCTTATATATTTTCTGCATATCAAAAGTTTTTTTTTTTTTTTTTTGAACTTGTTTCTTTCTTTACAATTGAATGTTTCTTTGAGTGTCTTGGCTGTGCTACATATAGGCTTCTTTAACAAGTTGAAGCTTTGGCTTTATTTCAATAATTCATAGTAGAAGATAGAAGCTATATGCAATGCTATATGTTTGTGTATGTGTATATGTATGTGTTGGCTCCGAAAATTCGGCCATGGCCTCCGCCCGCTTGTTGCTTTTTTTTGGGGGGAGTTTTAACGGATTTAAGTTCTGGGGTAAATTTTGGAAGGCAGATGGGTTTGTAGATAAGACACAACCCAAAGATTTCACCCTCATTTTGCGAGGATTTTATGATATGAGTTTTGGTTTTCTATAGGCACAAGCCCCTATAGTTAATTACGCCTCCCGATAACGAGAGAGAACTTTCGATTAAGGCTAGTCGTCAATCATATATGTATAAATATGTCTTATATAGAATATAATAGCAGCATGGAGCTTGGGTATTTGGAATTTGGAAAATTTGATATTTAAAATTAGAAATTTCACCATCTTGTACTTAAAGCAGATGTTGAGGGAATGGATGATAGACCCAATCAAAATCCCATGGTTCTGTCGTCCCGGGCCATCGTGGTCCCTGGTCTACTTAGTCAGAGGAGGTAGTTGACCCAACCTGATAGAAGGATCCTTGTCGGTAGCCATGGGTTGCTTCGTCCAAGGGGACCTTGTAGACTTGAAGTGGGTATTTGTCTAAGGGGACAAATTTGAATCCAGCTTAGCTAATATAGGGCTTTGTGCCCTATCGATTATATCCTATTGATTTATATCTCAAGGATTTGATGTCATTAAGGAGCGTATTGACTTTGACCATAACCGGTATTTCGTGGTGCCATTTGGCGGCAAAACCACTCGGTTCAGAGGGCCCCGGGTCATAATCGTTTATTCTGTGGTGCCATTTGGCGGCAAAACTACCGGTTAGAGGACATGTATCATGTCCTTAATAGCAAGAGACTGTTTGAGAATGGATCCTGTAATATTTTCGACTAGGCATTAGCTTTTTGTGAGCCAAAGTATATTTTAATTTGTCCACATCGACAAACTGTTGCAGAACGTGAATGGATTTTGCTTTTAGCGATTTGATGGATTATTTCAATTTTAAATATTTTGAATTTTGGAATTTTTGGGATGTTGGATTTTGGACTTATGTGGATATTTGGATGGAATTTGAAATATTTGGAGTTAACCCCTCTGATTGAAATCTGCATTCAACATGACCATCATCAGGGTGTTTGGGGTCATTTCCATTTATGGCTTGAAGCTTGTCAATTCTGTCGAGTTATCGATAGAGGATCGAGTTTCATAGGGTTTATGTCTTTGTTAGTGAATTTTCATTATTATAGGCCTTAAAGGCCTAATATGAATGCATTAAAACAAATATACCGGTCATCATAACTGTATACTTGTCCGATAATTCGAACCTTGTCAACTCCTATTTACCTACTTCGGAGGATCGGGTTTCGTAGGCTTTATGCTTTTATTAATGAATTCTCATTGTTATAGAACTTGAAGGCCTAATATGAATGTATTAAGACAAATATACCGGTCGCCACTACCGTATATTTATTTGATGGTTCGAACATTGTCGACTCCTATTGATCCGCATAGAAGGATCGGGTTCAAATTTATTGACCCGTGCAGCATCCATAGACGTCACATGTACCAATAACATACTCATTGGGGCCCATGCGGGTTGTGAGTTTATTTACCCTTTTGGTGTACCTATATGCATACATATTACAGTGCATGTGCGGGGGTATTTTGAAATGTTTGAAATTGTACGGGTAACTACCATTTGAGCGTGCATAACATTCCATTTGAGAGTTTGAACACGCCTTCTGTCCACTTGTATGAATGTTGTGGATCCGGTGGCATGTTGTAGCAGCTTTTGAATTAAGTTATTTGCTTCTTTGTACAGGTAGACTATCGTGCACTATTTGTTATTTTCTATTAGTGGGTTGTAGTGTACTAACAAATCTCCTGTTTTTGCATACAAATGAATCGTAGTGTTATCACATGATTGTAATGAGATACTTCATTGTTCTGATGTAAACTCCCTTTTCTCATTCACCGGGAGGCCTTTCTGGACTTTGAAATCAGTGACCGCTGCTTTGAAAAGAACTCCTTTCAGGTTAATTAGTGTAGTAGACCTCTGCATAGTTGGCCTTTAAAATGAATAGATGTATCTAGGTGCACTTATTATTTTCAGTGTTCTTGGATGTTAGAACTATTTTCTTCCAAAGTTTAAAACCACGAAGAAATTTTGGAATACCAAGAAGTTTAGTTCGAATTTGTTCAAACGTCTCTTCCATTCTACCAGGAGGTGTCCTTCTCCGTATATCGAGTTGTTTTCGAACCCGATATACTCACAAATCTCAATCACCGCTGTTGTAGGTGATATCTGTACTTGTATCTACAAGGGTTCGTTGTATTTATGATATACCCACTGTTGTTATCCACAAATACTATATCAAATATTACGGCTTGTATAGAGTGTTAACTACAATCTCCTGGATGTACTTGTAGAAGAATCATTGTGCTTGCTTCATATCCATCTTTCACCAATCTTGGGTGATTTGGTGTACGACTATCTTTCATCAGGAATCTTACAAGCCTTAATAATCTTATCCAACTCAATGCCTAGAACCTGGTTGGATTGAGATTCATTCATTCATAATGATTTGATCTGGCTTTCTTTTCCTTAACCTCGTATGTGAATTAGTAGGCAATACCCGATAGCTGGTATTTCGAAGTTAATGTCCACTATCTTGGACTAATGATCATGGCAATTGAAGATACTTCGAGCCATCTAAGATAGTCATAGGAGGTACCCATTCCTTTGACAACACATTTGTTAAATATTAGTCACTAGATCCAGTGGGCATGATGTAGTGTGTGACGACATCTACTTGAATGCATCTAGATACAGCGGGTGGTTACTTCCACTTCATGTTTAAAAGCCCCTTTGGCTATAACTGGCATGCTGAATGTGGATCTTTTAATGCCACTCGTAGGCATTCATATTTGGTGTAATTAAGAATCCTTCCATGGTAGATTGTAAGTAGTTGCATTTGTTGTGTATTATACATCTTCACTTGCAAGAGGACGATGTATCTGGCTGCCATTGAAGGGTTGTTGATTGCGGAATTGACCACAGTTTCCTTTGTTTTGACATTGCCCATAAAACATTATCATAATCATCATATGCCTTTTGTGCTCGTTGTATGCCGCTTGATATTATGCATTGATAGATCATAAGTTGACAAACGTTGGCCATAAGCAGGTTGTGGTGTACATGATGGTTCGTTCTCTTGTTTGTGAATGCAACGCTATACAATCACAGATCTTCTAGCGCCATATGAGTTTGTATTCACTACAACCTTTCCGCTATCACTTGTAAGCGCACAATGTTTCTTGTATATGGCCTCTTGATATCATAGAGAGCTTGCATTGTTGCTTGCGGTGAATCAACAATTCACTTTTACTTGGAATTTCAATGAATGTTCCCCATTCATTCATTGATCTACACTTGCATAATCAAATTCAATGATTGATATTGAGGTAATTATGCATCCCTTAAATTCAATAATCTAATTGTGGTTCAAGCCCGGGTTCATAAGTTCTCTATTGTACACATGCAAATGCTTTATTGACATTCAAATTGTTCAAGCAATTAGTGTTCAACTCGAGTCTGATTTTAGTTTAAATCAGGTCCGAGTGCAGTCATATGTTTACTCAAAATTTTGGCAGCCTCCCAGCGTCTCTCCTGTTTAGGAGAAACTATAGCAAACAGGGCCTTCCACCGCGCTAGAGAAAAACGTGCACGGTTAGTGTCATAGGACACCGCGGCCGTAATTTCTTTAATCCCACCACGCTAGAGAATGGCGTGCATGGGTCTTCGGTAGCTATTTCAAGAAAAGCAGTTGTTTCCCCGTAGGTACAGAGCTGTGTACGGGTATTTAAAGTCATCCCGACCACGCTAAGAAAAGCGTGCACCGAGCCTACCTGCCTCGTCATAGGCGTCGCATCGGGTTCCCTCCCACCACACTAGAGAAAAACGTGCATAGGTGGTTTGCCGACTCGACACGAATGTTGAGGGCAGGATTTTGGGTCAAGGGCTGCTCACATACCTCGTCGTAGGTGTCGCACCGCCACCACGCTAGAGAAAAGCGTGCATGGTGGTTTGCCAGTTAGATATGCATACCGAGGTAAGAGAGGGATTGATTTGCTTTAAATTAATTATAATTAATTATTATTATTATTAACTAATTAGAATTAAATTTAATTAATTAAAATCAATACACAATTAATTATATTAATTGTAATTATCATTTAATTAACCATATAATGATTAATTAATAATAATTATAATTACTAATTAAATGTAATTAAATTTTAATTAATTATCATAATTTATCCATTATAAATAAATAAATAATAATAATAATAATAATAATAAATAATAATATATTAATAATTATATTATTAATAAATAAATAATAAAATAATAATAATAATAATAATAATAATAAATAATGTATAACAATTAACATGCTCAAAGGGCTACTTTGTAACAGGATTTGGCCGAAGAGGCACGCGGCAGGGAGAAGGTTAGCCTCACGGCAATTGAGCTCCTATTTGCTGCTTTAAGATCAAAATGTTGAACTTCCGATCCGACTGGATGGGAAATCGTGGAAGGAGCGAAATCGAATAACACGAAAGAGCCGAAGAAGCGAGCGTGAGGGAGAAAGTCGCCTTCACAGTAAGCGAGCTCCCATTTTGGCTTCCGATCAAAGAGTCGTGACTTTCAATTTGGCAGCAAGGGCAAGCCGTCGGGTGCGAGGTCGAATGGCCACCGAGGGTGCCGGAGAATCCCATGCGAAAGGGAGGAAGTTATTCGCACAGCATGCGACTCC